AGGGGTTCCCGCCAAGCTCGCAGGCCCCAGGCCCCAGCGTGGGAGAGGAGGGAGGGCACAGCGCGAGGCTGAGGCCACCATGTCCCTCCCTTAACTCTTGTGCTCAAATCCCATCCAAACAAAACAGTCTGGCTTCTTGTAATGGTTGTAAAACTCCGGGAGAGTGAGGTCTGGGTGAGGGTGTGGGGTCGTCCGGAGAGGAGCATGACAGGGGCACGCAGAGCGGGGAAGAGGGGGAGTAGCACATGGGGGTTACACAGGGGGACAGCATGCGTCCCTAAGACCTCAGGAAGCACCCTGGCAGCAGGCCCTGGGCGGGAGCTGCGGCGGGAGAGTGAGCAAGTCTGTGTCACCGGCGCAATGTCCCAGCAAGGCCGTGGGGTCCACGCCTGGAGACTTTGGGGGCCCTTCTTAACCTCATCCTGAGCCTGACATCCTGAGGCGTGGCTGACCCTGAACGTTAGGGAAACAGGAGTGAGTGCAGATGGCTTTGCTCCGGGGCTGAAGGGTCCACGTGGCCATCTCCAAGCTGAGGGGTCAGGATGGCGGGAGGGGGGCGGGGCCCAGCTCCTAACCCACCTGCTGGCGTGTGGCCTGCTGCCTGGTTTCGTGTTGCCGCGGGCTTCGCTGCATCACGCCCGTGTTATTTTTATTAAGGGTTGTTGAGGGGTGGCTCTGCTTGCTAATTACACCGTGTCTTTAATAATCACACTTGTGCTTGTGAGATTCGCTGCTGCCCAGACTGACAAAGGTGTGAGTGTTCTCGGTTTATCAGATGAAACAAAATACCACCTACATTCCTTCAAAACCAGTCAGCCTCAGGGCTGTGCTCTCCACCAGGGCTGTGACGGGAGGCTTTCTACTTGAGTCATTCGTGCCAGAAGCCATGCCCTGCCCACCCGACACATTCACGTCTGCTGTGACGTGTCCGTAAGGAATCGTGCCTCTCCGGGATATTCACCGACATCCCCAGGCCTTGCGGCGGTTTCCCGAGGGGCCCAGCGCCGGCGGTTAGAAGCCCGCTTCACTCTGTGCACAGTGATGGCCTAAGTCCCTCAATGCAAACAGGGCTCCACAAAACCAAAGTGGTGCCAGATGTCCCCAGAATCTCCTTCTGGCTCCTTCTCAGGACAGGGACAGAACTGCAAGCAGGAGCTGGTGCTTAATCCTGGGTTCTGGAAGCCCACTTTGAAAGGGTGCGCTTTCCACAGCATGTCTGTTCTCCTGTGAAAGCTCACTGATGTTCAGGGGGCCCTGTGCATCTCAGGGGCGTGGACGCCCAAGTGTGCACGGCACCGACAGCAGTCCGTGTATAGGTGTGCAGGTTTCAGAATCAGCGGTGGACGGCACATCCTGGAGGGAGGGCGTGTCACGCACAGCATGGGGGTGGGGCTCAAAGCTGAGGGGGGAGGTGAACGGAGCGCCCCTTTGCCTGGGGCTCACCGCACTTTCTGGTACAGTAAATGTGTTGTTTCTCAGAGGGTTTTGCCTTCTGAACACAGTATTACCTTTTGCATGAAACTAAGACGTTGGAAAAGGCCCCAAGTTTTCACTGACCAGAAGGAGCAGATACCCATCTGGCAGGTTCTGGGTACCCTAGGACCTGAGGTGACATATATGAAGCGTCCAGTAGGGCTACGCTGTCACTCAAACACATGCAGCTATTAAACCTAAATTATTTAAAAATAAGTAACACTGACAACACGGTTCTTCGGTTGGACTATCCACATTCCACGTGCTTCTGGCCCCTCGTGTCTGATGGCCGGCCGGCCGGGCAGCACAGACGTACAGCACCCCCATCGTGGCAGACACCTCTGATGGGCTCCAGAGCAGGGGGTGCCTGCACAGGGAGGAGTCGGCATGTGGCAGCTGCCAGCTCAATGCCAGGTGCCGACGGGAAGGGTCTAGCTTCTGCCACTGAGGTCAAGAGGAATTCTTTAGGGGGGAGGAAGGAAGGGAGGAGGAGAGAGTGAGGTGGGGGAGCGAGACCGTGAACTCCAAGGCTGTGAGGTAAGGTGCAGTGAGCAGTCGGCCAGCACCCTGCAGCCTAAGACACGGACGGGCTGTTCCTGTGTGCCTAAGTATCAGACCAGGTTAGCACCTACTTGTCTATAGGAAACTGCCTTCTGCATTTCAGGTCCTTAAGCTCTTAAATATATATTACACGATAAACTTAAGAATTACCTGAGTTCTCAAGAAAACTTGCTCATGTGACTTGCCTAAGAAAACGGAAATTATACACCTATGGGTCTAACACACTACAATCAACTCAGAAAGCTTTGTAAACTCTCCAGGGGAATTTGTGGCTCAGAGGCACCACCTCCTCACCTCTCGGTGCTCTAGGCTGGAGTTGGGGGACTAGGAGGAAGTGCATTTCTTGGTGACTCTGCTTCCCATTGGGTGACGCTGTGATGGTGACAGCGGTGGTTTTAACAGGAACTGCAGGACGAGTGTGAGGCAGAGAGACAACAACAGGCTGGGTTTGGGGTTCGAAAGGGCCTGGGTCTCAGTCCCACGGCTGCCGCTGCCCCGCTGGTGAGCATGGACAGTACCCAGCCAGAGATCCTCTTCAGGTGACGCCCCGCTAGCTGTCACCTGGCCTGGGGATGGGCGCGCTGGCCACACTCCACCGACAAGCTGTGCAGTTAGGGTGCCAACAGCGGGACACACCCATGAGCACAGCTGACAAAAGTCGGGTCCTCACTGAACTTAATTTCCCTGCGGAGACGAGAGAATTGCATGGAGCAGAGGCGAGCTAATTAGTGGTTAAAATAGAAGTTCTCATTCCTGAGGATGGCGTGACAAGGACAGGGCTCACGAAACAAGCCTGACAACACTCTCTACTTGGGCCAGGACGTGGCAGGACTTAGGATTCTCCATGAGTGGCTGTGACGGATTAACCCACAGGTTGAAAGTCAGCCCATTCCACACCTGGGAGGTGGGTGGTTTTGAAGGAAACGTGTTTCTGGTCCAAAGGAAAGGCCGTCTACACGTGCCTCTGGGTTTATCTGCACACTAACTGTCTCGCTTCCCAGTGGTCACCCTCATACTATCTCGGGCGCATCCCATCAAGAGCATGGGGTTTGAATGGTGACGCAATGCGCGCGTGAACAGCCTCTCCAGGGCTGATCCTCTTGCCGAGGCCGAGCGCCGGGCCTTGGGCGCCACGCGGTACGCACTTGGCTTTGAAGACCAGCTTCAATAACTAATCAGTTTAATTTGAAACACAACATCAAACAGACTAAGAAGTTGCTCCCCACTGTAAAATTTAGATCATGTTTTTCGGTGTGGTAACTCTTTTCTTAGGCTGATTAAATAGGAAAATCTAGAAATCGGAAAACCCTTGTGAGCCAGACGCCACCACCAGGACAAGCACAGAGATGAGCGTGTCCTAGGCCACCTGAGGCCACAAACAGATGAAGGGCAGGTTTTCCAAATTATTGTCATTTGTTGTTAGGTTTTCAAATTTTATTTATTTATTTATTTATTTATTTGTTTATTTATTTTTAGCTGAGCCATCCTGCCACCTGTTGGCAGCTCAGCGGCAGCTCAGCTCGGGCCGGGAATTGAACCAGCAACCCTGTTGCTCAGAGCTTGCTCAAGCAACTGAGCCACCCGGCTGGCCCAGGTTTTCAAATGTTTAATAGCTTATCACTTGATTTCACTTATATTGAAAATGCGCAAGTGCCTCAAGATAAGCTGCCAGCTGTCGTGCTCCTCACGGCTGCGGGCTGTCATGCTTCCGGGCGGCGGCAGCCTCGCCAGGCTCGTGTGGGGAGAAAAAGAATGCGCTTTACAATCTCCTTCCTCAAGTTCACTCCCATGGCCACGGAAGTCGGTGTCAAACAGAGCTTAGGAGCCCACGTGTTAAGAAACAGTTCAGTGCCGGCCGAGTGGCGAGGTGGTTAAGAGCTGGCTTGGGATGCCAGAGGGCCCCGGTTCGGATCCCACATGAGAGCCAGTGACACTGCCCTCCACAGCTAAGATGCTGAACAACAGCTCAACCTGGAGCTGGGCTGCCGGGAGTCGCCGGCGACGGCGTAGGCTGCAGCCCCTGTGGCAGTGGGTTGTCATGGGCTACCGTGTGTGGCCAGCAGCCAGCGTGNGTGGACGGAAGCTGGCTGTGGTGTCATTCTTCCATGAAAAGACAAGCCCAAGTTTGTGGCGTGATTGAATTACAGAGATACCTGGGTTTGCGGGCATAATTCGTTCCGGAAACAAACTACTCGTATTGCAAGACATCGCTCGTTTACCACGTTAAAATGTATTAGAAATGTTTGCTCGTCTTGCGGAACACTCGCAAACCAAGTTACTCGCAATCCAAGGTTTTACTGTACTTGCATGTCCATTGGCTTTCACATCCAACTCTAGGTAATATATATATAATAATTCTCCACATCGGATCTCTATTTGAGAAGGTCAAAGACAGCTGCCCTGGAAAGTGCCTTAGGAGCTGAACCATGTTCCTAATAAATAAAGCTTATTACAGACCTTTCCATGGTACAGGGCAAATAGATGATTAGAGAGATATCGCATAACAAGGAAAAATCTGGGAACTCTCTGGTGTCTGTGTGCACACAAAGACACGCAAAACAACCCAAAAAGGCAACAGCAAGGTGGGAACAGACCCCACAGTCACCACGGTGGTCACGGCGGGGGCGACCAGACGGTGACAAGGTCGTGAGCGCTCCACTCTCCACATTCTACAGAGGCTGAGTTTGCAGGAATGAGAACAGATTCTCAGAGGACTCTCGTAATTAAACAATTAAAATCTTCCCCAACTGTAGTTGTACAGTTACCCCATGAAGTCACTGCTTCTCATTTCTATGTCACATACCAAACACGTCACTGTCTTCCGAGGCCTCCCGGGAAAATTCGCGAAGGGTCCTCTTTTTCTCAGACTCTCCTCTGCTGGCGTCACCATCCTAGAAAAACAAAACCGAACACTTTTGTCACATACAGTGTTTTATCAACACAGTAAGTAGTTCAGGGCACTTTTCTCCTCACAGCGCTGGCGGGTCGGGGGTGGGGAGGGGCGTCGGCAGCCTTACTTTCCAAAGAAAATGACACACTTGTATCTGTGCCTCCAATTTTTCTTCCATTGTTTCCTTCCCTCAGCTAACCCTGGGGGGCACATTCCATGTCCCCAAGGGCTGCCCCCGCTCTGCCCCACGGGAACGCCCGGAGGGGTTGAGGGCCACCCTGGTTGGTGGGTTCAATAGCACCCTCTTCTAAAAGGGGTTCCCGCCAAGCTCGCAGGCCCCAGGCCCCAGCGTGGGAGAGGAGGGAGGGCACAGCGCGAGGCTGAGGCCACCATGTCCCTCCCTTAAC